TCCCTGCAATCTGTGTGCATTTCACCCCGCGGCGGACACACCACCTGGCTGGACAGGCGAGCAGCACACAGAGTAAATCCCCAGCGCCCGGCCAGCGACGCTGTCCCGCACGGATCAAGGACCCATTGCTCACGTGGTCCGAGCCCGACTGGAGCGGTCTCTAAGACCACTCTGAGCTTGGGCGTGCAGGATGGGTAGGGCGAGTCGAACCAAGCCAAGCAAGCCAAGCAAGCCAAGCAAGCCAACCAAGCAACCAAGCCAACCAAGCAGTGGCACGTGACAAAGGACCACGTTTCAGCTTCCAACACATCCGGCTTGGACAGAAGCGAACACCATCGCTCAATACATCCGGCTTGGACAAATGCAAAAATGTTTGGCAAAAAAGGGTTTCCTCACGCTGGCTTCCCAGTGTGCTTTAAAATGTTTTGGTCAACGGCCGTGCCCCCGGCACTGAAATTCCTAATAAAATACATAAATAAGCTAATACTACAACAGCTTGAAACCTTAAATCGGTATATTGAACTGCACTATTGAGGAAATTGGTTTTGGCCTTCAAACCCCCCTGATCCAGCCCCCAAGGATCCAACCCTCAAAACGAGTGTGTGGAAGAAAGAAACTACAAACACCTTGAAGAAGCCCCGATGGGCCTTTTCCCTCCAAATTCAACCTTTGGCATTTTGCGTAGGAAGGGCTCCAATTCCTGCGCTTTTCAACTTTCGCAGGTCCCGGGAAAGGGGCGGGGTGGCCAGAGGTTGAAAAGCGCAAGATTTGATGCTTTCAGGCCGTGGAGGGTCCAATTCCTGCGCTTTTCAACTTTCGCAGGTCCCGGGAAAGGGGCGGGGTGGCCAGAGGTTGAAGATTTGATGCTTTCAGGGCGTGGAGGGTCCAATTCCTGCGCTTTTCAACTTTCGCAGGTCCCGGGAAAGGGACGGGGCGGCCAGAGGTTGAAAAGCGCAAGATTTGATGCTTTCAGGCCATGGAGTGTCCAATTCCTGCGCTTTTCAACTTTCCCAGGTCCCGGGAAAAGGGCGGGGTGGCCAGAGGTTGAAAAGCGCAAGATTTGATGCTTTCAGGGTGTGGAGGGTCCAATTCCTGCGCTTCTCAACTTTCGCAGGTTGCGGGAAAGGGACGGGGGGGCCAGAGGTTGAAAAGCGCAAGATTTGATGCTTTCAGGCCATGGAGTGTCCAATTCCTGCGCTTTTCAACTTTCCCAGGTCCCGGGAAAAGGGCGGGGTGGCCAGAGGTTGAAAAGCGCAAGATTTGATGCTTTCAGGGCGTGGAGGGTCCAATTCCTGCGCTTCTCAACTTTCGCAGGTTGCGGGAAAGGGACGGGGCGGCCAGAGGTTGAAAAGCGCAAGATTTGATGCTTTCAGGCCATGGAGTGTCCAATTCCTGCGCTTTTCAACTTTCCCAGGTCCCGGGAAGGGGGCGGGGTGGCCAGAGGTTGAAAAGCGCAAGATTTGATGCTTTCAGGGCGTGGAGGGTCCAATTCCTGCGCTTCTCAACTTTCGCAAGTCCCGGAGGGTGGGGTGGGGCTGGGTGGGAGGGGGGTGGCCAGAGGATCTTTAAAGCCCTTATTTGCCTTCGGGCGAATTCCGAAACTCTCGCCGATTTTTAGCCAAAATCCTAAACCCTCTCCCAAACAGATGATTTTTTCAACCCTTTATTTGCCTTCGGGCGAATTCCGAAACTCTCGCCGATTTGCAGCAATAATCCTAAACCCTTTAAAACTGCGGCTTCGCGAGTTGAGAAGTGCAGGGTTTGCAACTTTCAGATCGCGTAGGCTTCGGATCCTGCGCTTTTCAGTTTTCGAGGGTGAAAGGCGTTTTGGGTGCAACCGCGAGGGGTGTGTTCAAGTCTAGAAGACCAAAATCCCAAGAGAGCTCAGAGGAGTTTCCGGCCATTGTGGACCCTCCTCCTGCTGCTGCTGCAGACAAGGCCAACAGAGCTTCAACCCGGACAGCCTTGTTGTTGCGGCATTTTGGCAACATGACAGTTCCTTTGCTATGCTTTCATTTTGCACTGTGATTCTGCAACGGAATGGGTGGAAGGCTCAAGTAGTTTCACTCACACCCACAACCTTGAGCCCCGCTCAGCCAAACCATAGTACATACATACAGTGCACAACCTTACAGCGACGTAGGTCCTAGCAGCACGCCCGTGCATCATGGAGCAAGACGACGGCGAAGACATCCTGAAGAGAGCTTTCGCTTTGATAGCCCGCGAGACGCCGGAACAACGCCAGGAAAGGTACCGGCTTGCGTCACAAATCCTCGAGGGAGGCACGACGCGTCTACCGAGGCAACAATGCATGAGCCTTCGATATGGAGCAAGAAGTCCTGCGTGCCCGGTCGGAAGCTTTGGGAGCACGCCACCCGGACACACTCAGTGCGCAAGGAAACATGGCAGTGACTCTCAAGAGTCTGGGCAGCTTCGAAGAGGCGCTGCAAATGGAGCAACTGGTCCTGGCGATTTTTCTCAGCTGGTGGAGGCGCTGCGCAGGCGCTTGCAGCGTCGGGAGGAACGCGAAAGGCTGCACATGGCCGCTGAGGAGCTGCAGGCTAGTTGCTTGAGGCCAAAAGAGAGACAACTCCTCACGGGTTTGAAATGTTTTGGCCGATTTGCTGGGCGACTGGGGCTCGGAGGGCTTTGCGTGACTTGTGCGACTTTGCACCCGCCTGAAATGGAGGGCTTGCAGCCTACCGACAGCTTGCAGCCACCGGCTTGCGTTAGGGCAGCATGTTGCATTTGCGAGCAGAAGACAGTGATTCCCAGACTTTTCCGCCTCACTTCTCAGTCTCTTTGGCAGGTTGCGACTGAGCCACTCGAGGGCGAAAGCTGCGACCCTGTGTTGCCTCTTTTCAGTGCTGACGATGAGCTAGAGGAAGCCGACTGGCAGCGCCTGCAACACCTGGAGCTGGCGGCTGAGGACTTAGAGGCAAACAGTGTCCCACGCACTGTGGGCGATGCAAAGACAGCGTTAGCTGAAGTGCGAAAAAGGCCTCCAGCGGCCCTGCGTGCCGCAGAGTCGGCTGCAGAGCTCATGGAAGCCAAACCGGCGCCCATCCATGAGCATGGGCTGTTGGTGCGAGGGAACACGGACCTTATCGAGGAAGTCATCACGTCGTTGACTGCCGAGCTGGCCATCAACTACAAGGTGGAGCACCGCGAAGATGCATTGCTTGTTACAACTGGTCATTGGCGGCACAGGGCAGCTTTGAAGGACCGCTTGGCATGGCAGTTCGAGGTCGCACACGCGGAGCCGCAGCGCAGCAGCAGCAGCTCCCGACAGGCTCCACCTTGGATGGAGGAAAGCTTGGACTTCACTTGCAGCAAAGAGGCATTCAAGAGAATCATCAAGGACGTCGTGAACGATGTAGTGCAGGAGCTCGAGGAAAAGCACGCAGGACAGGACAGACTTTGGCCAGACAAAATGGGCTCAGAGCATTTACTGGTTCTGCAGCAGGCAAGCGAAACATTCCTTCAGGAACTCTTCCAAGATGCGCAGACGTTTGCGGATCATGCAAAGCATGTTACGCTCATGAAGGAGGATCTCGCACTTGCCGTCCAGAACTACAAGGCCTGCAAGCGCAGTGCAGAACAGGCTTTCCAGGCTGGACTGGACAACGCCGCAAGCAGCAAGCGCAAGCCAGAAAGCCTTTTCCCCGAAGCTGTACTTTTTTGCAGGGTTTGGGTTTTTTTGGGGGGGGAGTTCAGGGTTAGTCGTTGTAGTACGTACGTAGTACTACTACTAGTGGTCCTAGCAGAAGCAGTGCTGGTGATGCTGATGCAGATGATGATGATGTTGATGAGGATGACTAGTTGTTCTTTCTTTTGGTCTGTCGTCTACAGGGAGGGTTGGTGGTGAGACAACCCGCGGCAGATGAAAAGAAAGAACTCGCGTAGTAGTAGTAGTAGTAGTAGTAGTAGTTGTTGTAGTAGTAGTAGTAGCAATAGTAGTAGCGCTAGTACCGGTAGTAGTACAATAGTGTGAGTACGAGTATTACCTAAGTCTTCCAAAACCTGCTTTAAAGCAGGCAAGGTTGCAAGAACCATGGTTTTAGACAAGTTTACTAAAATCCTGGTTCCTAGTAACCAAACCAAGAACCTGATTATCCAACCCGTCCAAAACCCGTAAACAACCCGTGCGAAACCCGTAAACACCCGCACGAAGCCCGTAAAAACCGTAGTTTCCTTTTGTCTCATAAAAACTAGGTTTCCTTTTCAATAACAGAGTTTTTAAGCGTAACCTGCTTTAAAGCAGGTTCTCCGGTGTAGGTAGTGGTCGTAGCACTTGCACTACGTACTCCTTGAACTACGTAGTAGTGCTTGTGCTTTGAGCCTAAAACCCCTGCCGGCAGGCCACAGTCGGACGAGCTCTTCCACGCTCTACCACGGTGGGGTTCGGGGAATTTAGTGGTGTTTGGGGGGTTTAAGGTTCGGGTTCAGGGGACGGGAACGGGCTCCTGATGAACATAAGAATTTTTCGATACGCTTAAGAGACTAGGCGGGCCTGCCCAACCCCTCACCGAATTCCGTACCTAAACTCCCAAATCCCAAGCATCCCGAAGCGAGAGTGGGCGACGAAACATCCCTAAACCCTAAACCCTGAACCCCCCAAAACCCAAAACCAGCAGCAGCACCACCAAACCACCCTTATTAGCACGGGCTGGTTCACCGTAATTATAAGTCTCTAAAGTAACTAGTTATTACTAAGTCCCCTGTTGGCAGATCCCGTCACTTCCTGGTCCTCCTGCTCCCTCCTGCTCTTACTGCTCTTCTACTGCCTCCAGGACTTAGGGCTTTCGCTGGAGGGCTTTCTGAGAGGCTTCGCTCAAGCCTTCTGAACTGAAAAGCAGCCTCAAGTTTCGGATGTGGGGTTTGCGAAAAAGGGAGTGGACTGTGGCCTTTCTGGCTCCCCAGAACGGTTGATGTTGGAGGATGTTGCTATGAGGTGCCGGGAAGGACTTTGGACTCCGCAGATGCCCTGCTAGCTGGTCATGGCGAAGCAAAAAACCTTGTTCGGCGGTGTCGTGGCTGATGTGAAGCCTTTCACATGTGAGTTTTGCCAGGAAGGCTGCAGCACGAGTCAGGCCCTGTCGTCGCATGTTCGGAATAGACACCCTGCCAAGTGGGCGGAGCGCCACAGCCAACCACCACAGCAACCCGGTGCAGCCATCGCGACCTTGCTTTTGGGAGAGGATGTGCTTCCGGAGTTCGAGGAAGAGCCGCAGGACTTGGACGTGCAGGCCGACACAGACAGCTCAGAGTGCCAACTGGTGGCTTTGGGCACCCAAAAGTTGACGAAAGATGGAAGACCCAAGCTGACGAGGGGCAGGCCGCACAGGCAGACAGTCACACCGGCAGTGAAGCTGAGGGCCATAGCAGCCCACTTGGCAACGAAGGAGATGGGGCATCCAGTCGTGGATCAGTGGAACAGGGCTTGTGGGACCTCCTTCAGCTACAACTCCGTGTACAACTGGACCAAGAAGAAGGCAGAGCTCGAGAAGATGGCCGTGAAGGAGAACCGGTACAAGTTGTCCACGCAGAAACGAGGCTGGTTCAGATGCAACCCACTGGTGATGAAGTTCAACCACCGCTTCCATTTGAGCTTGCGGAAGGCCCGGCGCAAGGCTCGCAACCTTACTACCAATGTTGCTCTGGCGATTGCTGTCAAAGTGCACGAGCGACTCTCGACAGCGCATCCTGACCAGCAGTGGCCCCTGGTCCGAAGGACGCGGCAACGGTGGAAACCAACTGGAAGATGGATCCGGTCGTGGTTTCACTCCCGCGGCTGGAAACCGCGGAAAGCGACCAAGAAGCGGAATGCCACGCCTGCAGAGGACTCAGCGGCGATGCAAAAGTACCTCGACAAATTGAGATACATGCTGCAGCAGCCGCCTCCCACGACCGACGAATCCGATGTTGTTGCCTTTGATCCCTGCTGGGGCTTTTACGGTGCCGACAGGCGATTCAACAGGGACCAAGTCGGTCTTCAGTTCGATTTTACAGGGGAGCCAAAGACCTGGTGTTCCCCAGAGGAACGGGCCAAGGGGTGTGTGGCAGTGTCGACTGGACCGCCAAAATGGTCCAAAAGATACTGCACGTGGGCTGCTTGGTCATTTAACTACACCTCAAGGCCAGGGTTTTGGGCTTCAGGGTTTCCGGACTTAGGGGTTTGGGCCTACGTAGGGCTTCTGGGCCAAGCATTCCTGGCTGAGGACATGGTCTACAGCGCCGATCTTACGGCTCCTCAGCCGCCTGCTATTCTTTACTTCCCCGGCAAAGGCCGTGTTTCGGAGGTCGAGAAGCTTTCCTACCACCCCGACACGCACATCATATGGACACCCAAAGGGTACCTGAATGCTGCTGCCAACAGAGAATGGAGTGAGATTTTTTGCGGCTGGAAAGAGACAAATATCGCGGACGGTGTGCTTGTGACGATGGACAACGTATCCTGCCAGCGGAAACGTTCCTTTCAGCGTCGTTTGCTCGCAAGTGGTGTGTCAGTGCTCCACGGCGAGCCCAACAGCACCCACGTCTGGCAGATGGTGGATAGGCATGTAGGCCGGATGCACAAGAAAATGCTTGCTGATGTGCAGCTTGAGTTCCTCTCCGACAAGACCAACTACAAAGGCTTTGGCAAGCTGTCTGCTTCTGACCGGAGGATTCTCTTGAGCCATTGGGTGGGCGCAGTGCTTTGGGCGAAGGAGTCAAGGTTTTCTTTTAAGCCAGGCTCCTCCAGCTTTTCCCTGAAAGCTGTTTAACTTGTGACCAACCCGAGCCCCATGGCAAGCAAGGTTCGAGAAACCTACATCCGGGAGAAAGTGCAGCAGCATTTGGCTTGCTGTGCTGCTTCGGGCCTGCGCATTCGCTTGGACGGCAAGGGAGACGACAAAATCACTGTGGAGGCCAACCCAGTCTTCCAGGTCCAGGCGTTTGTGCAATGGGAAGGGCTTGTCGAGGCGATTGAGAAGCAATGGGTGGAGGACGAGGAGGTGGAAGCAGTCTCAGCGAGTCCTGTTCCCTCTTCATCTTCTTCCTCCAGCAGCAGCAGCAGTTCAAGTGATTCTAATTCGGATGCTGATGCAAGTGGGGTGGCAGCTTCATCGGAAACAGAGGTCAGCGCGGAGTGTGATGATGAAGCAGCCCATGCCACCACTTCTGATTTGAGAAGCATGTTGCAGTCGTGTGTTCAGAAGGGCAAGGTTGATGCCGGCATGAAGATGCTGGTCAGTTTTGCGAAGAATAGGACGCCTCTGGCGCACCCAAAGCGGCTTGAAGGCAAGCTTGTCCGGTTCAAATGCTTGAAGGAGGCAGCTGAAAGCTTGCAGTTGGAACTGCCAGCACTCGCTGATATGTAGTCGCGCATCCCGGCCTGCATTGAGTTGGCAGTTTTGGCGTGCGCCGTGGCACGTGGAGCAGATGGTTTGCCCTGCCTGCATCAGTAAACTGTTTGAGATGAGAATGTGCGTGTGTAGCCGGCCTCGCGGGAGGGCCCCTTCCATATGCTTCTGCCACAACTGTCTTCAGGGCTGACATAAAAGCCCGTAGTTCGTTTTGAGTTCGGCTTCTGCAAGCTGGCATAGCGACCAGCCTTTTAAGCAGGCTTACTCTAAGGTCCCTGCACCCTTTTGGATGTTTGATGAGGTTCCGAGTGTTCGAGAAAGTGCTCCCGTGCATGGTCTGATGGCTAAGGCAAGAACTCCCAACCTCCGCACCCTCCCTTACCGACTCAAACAAGGTCTCGCAACAGCAAAACCAGAGTCCTTCCAGCCCTCACTTCGCAGACAAGATTGATCAGCATACTTAAAATCCAAGCCAGCCTATAGCAAACTGGTAGCAGATCGGTTCACAACCCCCTCATGCCAAAGTACTTGGTTTCAATCCCCAGTGGTGTCAGGTTTTGTTTTCCCTCACCTGGAATCGTGGCTCCCAACAGTGCTTTGAATCACAGCCCGCAAGCTTGCAGGTTTTATTTTCCCTCACCTGGAATCGTGGCTCCTGACAGTGCTTTTTGAATCACGGCCCGCAAGCTTTGTTGCAGGACAGCCCGATCGACCTGGACTTTGCGAACAATGCCACCTTAGGGTTTAGGGTTGAAGGTATAGGGCTTAGCCTAAGCCCTACAAGTACTCTAAGTGTATAGGACGTAGCAGCATGGCTGGTTAGGATTTTTTCTGGACGAGAGTCTCAAATAATTTATTTTTGGGTGGACCAGAGTCTAATTTCTTGTTTAATAAAATTTCTTATCACAAGGCTAGACCGTACCATTAACACAGCTACTACTGCTACTACTCCTATTACTATTGCTCCTACCACTACCACTGCCACTGCCACTGCCACTGCAACTGCCTCTGCCACTGCCACTGCCACCACCACCACCACCACCACCACCACCACTACTGCTACTACTACTTCTTCTGCTTCTACTACTACTACTTCTACTACTTCTACCACTGCTACGACTACTACTGCTACTGCTGCTACTACTACTTCTACAACAACAACGACTACCCACTACCCACTACCTACTACTACTACTACTACTACTACTACCATTACTACTACTACTACTACTACTACTACTACTACTACTACTACTACTACTACTGCTACTACTGCTACTACTGCTCCTACTGCTCCTACTGCTACTACTGCTCCTACTGCTCCTACTGCTCCTACTCCTACTCCTACTCCTACTCCTCCTCCTCCTCCTCCTCCTCCTACTACTACTACTACTACTAATACTGCGACTGTGACTGTGACTCCGACTGTGAGTGCTACTGCTGCTGCTTCTATTCCTGCTGCTGCTGCTCCTGCTGCTGCTGCTGCTACTACTACTACTATCAATTACCTACAATTCTAGCCTTCTCGCTGATATCCTGAAAATGTTTCTGTTGTGACATGGTGCAGTGGTTGCTCGGAAATTGTGGTCCAACAGGGCATCCCCGAAGGAGGCACCATAGGTGCCCGCGCGTACCGTGTGCTGCTGAACACCATGGTTCGCGAGCTGGTTGCTGCGGGTTGTGGACATGGGGTCGGGTGGCACATGCATTCAAATGCCACTCATCTGGCAGGACAGAAACTGATCAGAGCATGGAGAGCAGGACTCCTCTTCAGTTGTTGTGCTTAAGCATAGGTTACAGACACAGTCCGATGTGCCTTCAGCAGCCATGTTGGGCTCCTGTCCCACGTTGGACTTTGGAGGCTTCTGCATTGCAAGCTCCGAATGATCTAGCACCTTGAAGGGTGGCTGCAATTTTGCATGCAGATGACCCTATCCTGCTGAGTTGCACCCGTGGCTCGTTGCAGCAAAGCCTCAATATTATTTTGTTTTTTGTGGCCATTCCGACAATAGGCCTCTTTGCATGTTGACAGTGGAAAATTGTGGCCTTGTTATCTGGCTCGGACAACGGCTTGTCCAGCCATTAATTGTTTGTGTCTTTGCCTGGAAAGGGTGGCCTGCCTTCAAGGCAGCTGGTGTTTATGAAATCTCATAAGTGGCTGGGACGTATCTTTCCCTCTAGTCTGAACTTCGAGGGTGTTCTTCGACAAATGAATGCTGCAGCGAGCATTGCCTTTACATGCCTTTTAAGTGTCTGCCGCGGCAATTCTCTTTCAATACATGTGATTCTGGAAATGTGCTGGTCTAAGGTGTTCTCTGTCCTCTCGTTAGGTTCTTGGTTATATTATATGGGCTATCAGCCTGTCAGTCGCGGCCAAGTTTACACTTGACGAGCTACCTGAGACGTGGGCCCGAGAAATCCTTGGCGTACACTTCTGGCAGAATTCTGCGGCTGCAATGGGCGAGCTCTGGTGGGACATTTCGGGATACAGCTTTGCATTTGCTGCCGTTGCAATGCGTCACAGTCAGCTTTGGGACTACCATGGCAGGTTATTCTTGTTGGCCCACTAATGGTCAAGTTCCTGGTCGTTCTGTAGGAAAGCACTCTTGGATCAGCATGAGATTGCTGATTGGCCGGATTGGTAAGAACCGTGTAAAGATGGGGCACTATTAAGCAAGTACCAGGAGTGCATATGCCTTGAAGCGTTGCCCGAATTTGAGTCACAAGGGTTGTATCGCTTGCATTCAGCGACAGGTGCGGGTTCCTCAGCACTTGACATTCCAGAAGGCCTCTACTCAGTTTCTGAAGCTGACTCCCGCTGCTTCCAACTTGGATTGGCATTCACATTTGGCAATCAGAGCTCTCTGCCGGTTGAGGGCAGTGTTTGTCAAAACGACGCCTCTTGAAGGTCGCTCCAGCAATGCAAAGATTTGAGCGCTGTTTTTGTGTGGCAAGCCCGTTCGGGTGTGCTTCTTCTTCTACTACTACTACTTCTGCTACGACCCTCCTACTACTATTACTACAATTATTACTACTACTACTACTACTGCCACTGCCACTGACACTTGCCTCTGCCACGACCGCCACCACCACGACTACTGCTACGACGACGACGAGAATAACAACAAATATTTTTTTGTTCCTCTAGTACCAGTGCTAAGATGCGTACTGCGACTATTACGAAGATTCCTAGTACTGTTACTGCCATTGTTATTAATGTTGTTCCTGTTGCTGTTGGTGTTACTGGTACTGCCACTGTTACAGTGTTGCTGATGTGCTGATTCAGGCTCTAAAACTATCGCTATGGCGGCTACCAGTATTATTAGTGCTACTACTACTGCTGTTCACTCCTGCTACAACAACAACAACAACAACTACTACTACTACTACTACTACTACTACTACTACTACTGCTAATAGTACAACTACTGCTACCACCGTCGGCACATCGTGCGAAAGGAAAGCTTGACTTTGCAAATTTCCAGAAAAAAAGGAATATTGATCAACGCTCAATATAATTCGTAATATATATATATATATATACCGACCCAAAAATCTTTTCCAATTACTTCATCACTTTGTGTTGTCGTGGTCGCAGCGCGTCGACTCTGTTGACGATGCTTCCACGGATCACTCGGCACATGTTGTTAGAGCCGCATGACGTCGAGATTTATACTCGGTGTTCAGAGACGTTGCCGCTCTGTGGGCATCGGTGTGCACTATAACCTCTGCTGTCATGCTTGCATTCAGTCTTTATTTGATGGGCAGCGGGGTGGTTTTAACATGCTGATGTGCTCATGGCGCCGTCGATGATGGGGTGCCTGAAGAACTGTTGTTTTCTTGGCCGCGGTTAATACTTTCGTGTTGACTTCTGCAGTTCCAGCAACAACCCAATAACCACGTGGCCTCTTTGGCTCGAGGTCTGTCGGCACAAAGGCTTTGTCCTGCATTTTCGCTTCCTTCGCAACACCCCAAGAACACTTCCATGGCGGAAGCCGAGGCTGTGTACCGCTACGAGTCCGGAAACATCGCGCATGCTCCCAAGAAGGATTACGGGCCTTTAGACTTTACTGGAAAGTTGGCTGGCGGCTTGCGACTCGACATCCGCAGGCGAGCGCCACTGTATTGCAGTGATTGGACGGATGCTTTCCAGCCGGAGAACTTCCAAAAGTCGGTATCGTCCATCTTGTACCTGTTCTTTCGTCTTGCAATATGCAGACCTTTTAAACCTTTTGAGTGTTTTCAACTTAGCGTTTCTCGCTGGGTATCGGCCAATCTGTGGCAGTAAGGTTCATCGCCGCCCTTGCCCCTGCGATTACTTTCGGTAGTCGGTTCCTCGACGGCACGAACGGCCAGTTCGGAGTGATGGAAATGATTATGAGCACATGTATCAGCGGCTTGATCTTCTCAACATTTTCCGGCCAACCCCTTTCGATTTTGGGTGCTACCGGTCCGTTCTTGGCTTATACGCTTGTCGTCTATGACTTGGCAGTTGCTGTGGACGTGGAATTCATGCCGTTTTATTTCTGGACATGCATGTGGTGCTCCCTCTTCACCGTCTTGGTGGCAGTCTTCGACCTATGTGCGCTGATGAAGCACGTCACTATGTTCAGCGAAGACATCTTCGCTGGCTGCTGTTCAGGGATAGTATTTGTCTTCAGCTTGATTGTTTCTGGGTTCTGAAAATTACACAACAACTAGCCTGACAAAGCATGTAGCTCTCTTTGGGTTACTGAAAAGCCTAGGATTAATTTCGCTGATCTTCATCATCGACGGAGCCCGGCCAATCATCGAGAATTTCACGGAAAGCAGGCTGACGCTGACGAACTGCATGTTTGAAGCCCTCTTGTTCATTTGGACATTTGGCTTAGCAACATACTTGTCCAGTTTCCGCCGAAGCCCCTGGACCTTCCGGTTCGTTCGCAACTTTGCAGCCAATTTCGCTGTGACCATCGCCTTGGTGAGTGGCTCCGCATTGGCTGCCATTTACTCCAACGACACAGGCCTCAGGATGT